AAGGTGCACGTGTGGCTTGATGTACCATCGTTGTAATTACATATAAAACTTCATCTATACTCTAATAAAAAGTTCCCAGACCAAAGAGGTCACCTTAATACCAAAAAAATAAATAAATAAATAAATAAAGAGAGTACTATCAATTGCTACTAGTTTGGTACTAACAAATTAACTTGGCACTTATTAATAGAGTTGGACAAAAAAGATTTTACTTTTCTAAATACTAAACTGAAAGCTAGAAAATAGAAACTTTACTCTTTAGAAAGCATATATTAAAAATAGCTAGAAGTACTAGCCAGAAAAGAATATATACTTTAGGTATACTATATATACTAAAAGAAGATAGACTAAAAATATCTAAAGCCAAGTTAAGATTAACTTTCTAAAAAAATAGTTAGTAGCAAAAAATGAACTAATTAAAAGATTTGAGTAAAGTCAAAAACCAAATTATAGATATTAGAATCTAAATATAGTCAGACTTTTCTAAATATACAAATTATATAAACTTTCTAAATATATAATATAGTCTTATAAAAGCTTTATATATTTTGCTTTTTATAAATGCACACCTTCTTTAAATATACACTTTTCAATTTTTTTTCTATAGTTTCAAAAAAATATATTTAAAAAAATCTGACTATATTAAACTATACAAGAATATTAGTAAGTAACAAACAGAAGTTTAATAATTAGCCCTGATTTTTAGTATAGATAAAATTATACTGTATATTAATTACCAAAAATTTAGATAAATATATATAGGATATATACTGCTCTAGCAGATTTAGTACAGAAATAAATGCTTCTAGTTTTGAAAAAAATTAGGTATTTAAGGCTAAAGCTTAAAATTAATAGTAAAAAAATTAAATATAAGCAAATTGTATATAATAATATATATATAGCTTAATTGATAATATGTGAGTCAATTAGATAAAATGATCTACATATATTAAGTAAATTTAATGCGATTTAATTAATAAAAAAAACCTTTTGTAAATATGAGTTTTTTTTGAAAAATTTTAAAAAAAAACCAGAACAAGTCTAGCATAGAGAAATTATAATTTAATATAGTATTATCTAAGCAAATGATTTTTAATAACAATGGAATTACAAAGATTGGTGATTGGTAATTGAGTAAGTTAATACAGTAATACTGTAATATAGTTAACTTCTATAAGTGCAAGTTGTTGGGAAATAGCATACTTACAATGTATGATTTGGATTTAATTACTATAGAGTATTGCCTAAAAATGGAATTTTTTTTTTATCTTATTGTAAATACAGAATATGTATATATTTGATTTTTTTTTGTGACACAGACTTGCTATAGCAAGTCTTCTATTTTTTTGTAGATAATTTGTATCTTGGGCAGTGCTCTACAGTATATATAATATTTATTAACAACAGTAATATTTTCTATAAGATATAGTAAATAATTTCTAAATGTACATACTAACTCTGTTTTAAATTTTATAGGTATTAGTCTATTAAAATATATTATTTAATCTAAAGACTGTACTAAAGGCTATAAGTATTGAGTGGTACTTGAAGCCTACTGAAGGTGACAATTTGGATAGTCTAGATATTATATAGATTAGAGGCCTGCATTGGGTCCCAAAGCCCGGCCCAGCCCGGGCCCGGTGTGCGGGCCTAGGCGGGCCTAAAAAAAATTTTTATAATCGCGGGCCAGGCCGGGCTGAAATTTTGAAAAAATTTATATTAAAAATTTGCGAGCCGGGCCAAAACAAGCCAGGCTTGACAAAAAATTTTTAACCGCGAGCGGGCCCGGGCCGGCAAAAAATTTGTAACCCTAATTGCGGGCTGGGCCCGGGCCTTAAAATTAGAAATTTGCAGGCCTCTAATATAGGTGCTGCCAAATAAAAACCAAGAGGCCTAAAAATAAAATTCTTTAGATGAGATATAAATAATACTGATATATAATTAAAAAATAGTATAATTAATTGGTAATCCACCAGTTAACCAGAGAATGATCATAGTAAAATGTAACTCAAATTACTTATAAAAATTGAGAGTCTCCAAATGTAGCGTACACACATTTAGAACTTTTTTTATACTAAGTTAATCACTTTTCTAACTTAAGAGACTTTTATAGAGCTTGTCAAGACATATCTAATAGTAGACAGAGCATCAAAATCGGCTTGGTGGGTGCCAAGATATCTTTAAAAAACATTTCACTAGTCGAACAATAAAATTTCGGCAACCTATCTGCTAGCCAATAGGTTACATATAGGTCACCGAAATCTAGTATAATCCAGGCGATACGTGCTATACCAATAGCTTACCGATACTTGGTGCGTATCTGTGACCTATCAGATTGGCACATATCAGCAAATTTCTGCAACCTATATATGGACTATCTACAAAAGATATCGGCTAGTATATATTGACATTAATCTATATGATACTTCCATTTATGCTATGTATCCACATATTTATATAGGTTTCTGCATATATATATAAATTTCAGCTTGGCATTTTTAAAGGTTTATATAGATTTTTATAGATCAGTTTGGGTATTAGCTAGCCGATATCACATTTTTTTTACTAATATTATATTTAATGATATTTACAAAATTTGAGCAATTTATACTTGTATATACTCATATATATAAGTTTCTGCTTAGTATATATAGATTTTGGCTCAGATATTTAAAGTTTTCAAATAGATTTTGATAGTTTAGCATGGGTATTTGCTAGCTGATATCTCAGTTTTACTTTATTATATTTAATGATACTTATATATTTAAGTGAATATATATGTATATATATAGGTTTCTTCTTGAAATATATAGATTTTTGCTTGGATAGTTAAAGTTTATATAGATTTTTGATAATTCAGCTTGGGTATCTACTATCTGATATTGTATTTTTACTTTATTATACTTAACAAAACTTACAAAATTTCAATCAATTTATTTATTGTATATATATATATACTTGAGCTTTTATAGAATTTTGTTACAAATATTTAAGTTTAGCTTGAATATCGGCTAGCCGGTATCACTTTATTTTTTATTATATCTATCTTTCATAAGCTATATGTATTATATACATTCGATTTGCATTACAAATTTCTGCTTATACTAATTACATAGTATATTTACAATTTTCCTAATACTAATTACATGCAATTACTAAAAAATCAAATTTCCGGATTATCGTAATCTTTGTCTTCGTCTCTAATATAATTGAAGTTACTAGTAGAAACATTCAGACGACCTCTTCTTTTGGAGGAACCTTTGGAAGAACCTTTTGAAGAACCTTTCGAAGAACCTTTGGAAGAGATAGAACTTTTGGAAGAGCTTTTAGAATCTTTATTTTTTTGGCGATTACTTTTCGATGTTGTAGAGTTAGACGCGTTAGATATAGATTTCGGCATAGTAGAGTTGGACATAGATTTAGGCGTAGAGTTAGGTGTAGAAAAGTTAGACATGAAGTTAGACGTGGAGTTAGGCATAGAGTTAGACGTGGAGTTAGACATGCCGGAATTGTTTGTTTCAGGGTTATTGGTTCTGAAATAATAAAAAATTAATAAATATATTACAAACCTTATAAGTATACTTTAAATACGTATGGTTGTTCAGTTCTAAGATTACCATGATCGAATTCAGAAACATTGTTGGAGCTAAAAAAAATGCCAAATTAATAAAATTCATAAAACTTTTAAATATTTTTTTTTAAATACTTACGTCAGCATGGTATTATTATTATTATTATTATTATGCCCAGAATTATCATTATCATTAGGCACAATTTCATTATTTGATTCATTGCTGTTAGACACCAAACCATCATTAGACACCAAACCATCAGATTCAGGATCGTTAATTTCATTTGATTCTGAATTATTATTGTTGGACCACACCAAAGAAATATTTCTTCGGTTATTATAGTCATAGGATGAAAAAATTGTCCAATGGAAAGCATCAAGTGGCGGTTTTGTATTGTTTTTCCTCAATGTCAGTACCTCTGCATTTTATAAATTTGGTTCGTTAAGGCTATGTCTTCAGCCTTATGGAAGAGCTTTTTGCACTATTTAAAAAAAAAAAGTAGAATTAATCCGATACGAGTATTATCAAAAAGAAATAAATTCAAAATGAAATTTTAAAAAAAAGTAGAATTATTCCGATACGAGTATTATCAAA